GGTTTTGTACATTATTTAGTGTTGATCTGCACAGGAAATGTAAAGTAGAGGCAAGGCAAGGGCAGGGAATGGAAAGGAACCGATGCAGGTCTAACACTAGCATCCATGCATGTAATGCCGGCCAGGCGTCTAAGTAATATATCTTGATTCATATCCGGATTGCAATATGCACCACACTCAGCCCGGTCTGCCGTGCGATCTGGATTGGGCAACGCCAAGTCGTATTCTGGATGGAGGTCTGCGGCCCGTTTCATCCTGACGGGCGGTTAATCATCAGCTTTGGTGAGACTGGACACGCCGGGACAGGGCAACGCTAAAAGCCACCGGCGCTGAGCCGGATAGCTTGGCCGAGATCAAAATAGGGAGAGGTGCGTGAAAGGAAAAGCAAAGAAAGGCAGCAGAAGAAAGACGAGAGGAGAAGACGACAAGATTGTTGAGTTCGTGTCGCATGGCGCGTTCAGTCTGATGAGGCTGCTTACAGGCAGTGATAGGCTGCTGTGGTGCCTGCAGTGGCTAGCGTAGGCCCAGGGCATGCGACGGCTAGTACCTGCAGGCGGTAGGAGGTGCCGGGGGGGGAGTTCCGAGAGCTATAGCTCCAAAAACCTCTACTCCAGCTGTTGAGCGAGGATAGCTCAGTGGGGGCCTGGCAGCTACAGGGGCCTCCGGTCCAGTGTCAGTCCACTGTAGCGGGTAGCAGAGCGGGGCCGCACTGATTGGCTGTTAGTGCCCGATGCTCCGGACCCTCACCGCACAGCTAAACGCCGGCTGCCAATTATATCCAGCCGCGCGGATCGTTCTCGCAGGTTGCGAAACGACAATGGCTGCTGGCCGTGTCTTTGGGTCGCGTAATTTCCTGCTTTCGCAGCTTTGTTTGGAGCTCGGCGCCTGCTGAGGCTGCCATGGCCTGCCTGGGGGGATACAAAGATGCAGCCTGCACGTCTGTGATGAACTGATCGATTCCCCTCTCTGACTTGGTAGTCTTCACTCATAGTAAAACAAGGGCCGCGCCATACACGTTCGCTTTTTCCTTTGATTTTCCTCTTTTTTCCTTATTTCGTTTTTTCCTTGCTTCACTCTCTATCCTTCGTTATTGTCCAGCGTTCTTCTCCTCCAGCAACTTCCACAATAATAGCCTGGATCATCATTCACCATCTCCGCTCATTGTCCCTCCACGCTGGCGAAAAGGACGGCATGTTCTGGAGAGTTCTGATTATTTCTGTGGGCTGATTGCATTGTTTGACTACGGGGCTTTTATACTATTGTCTCCGTTTCTGTGTTCATCTAAGAAAAAGGGAGCTAATACACAACCTCGTATTGTTCTCTCTTGTCTCGCTGGGGGGACCTAAAGTCGGCATCTTTTTCAACTGCGACTCCAATCCAGCAACTCTACTAACTTGGTATCATTTTTTTTTCTTGGATCTCTCATTTTTACACCATCTACATTCTTTCATTCACTCAATATGCCTTCACGTTGGCGAAAATGCAGCAAGCCCCTCTATATGGTGGCTTGCCTTCTGTTGCTGTCCGTTGTTGTTCAGGCAGGCCCTCTCAAATGGACAGACCGACCTTCATTCTCACCGAAATCGACCGAGCGAGATACCAAGGCTCGCATAAACAATATTGAAAAACGCATACCGGCCTTTCTTAGACCGCGCAAACCTCATCTCGCTGCTCGTTACGGAGACACCATTACGGCTGTAACAACACCGGGCGGCGATGTGAGCCAGGTTATATCCACATCCTCGTCCACGAGCTGCCCTCCTGACCAACTCTGTGCTATCTATCCGATCGAAGATTCTACGACAGCTTCCGTGGAGACTAAGCTCCCGCCCGCTTCGACAGTTGATACTGCCCAGCCGGTCAAGACCACTGCGATCGAGTCTGGTACGACGACTGCGCCGAGTAATACCTTGCCGGCCACAAGCGCTATCCCATCAGAACCAAGTGCCACAAGCGTTCTGACGGAGCCAAGCTCCTCCACGCATATTAACACTTTTACCGGGCAGACATCAGTGTTCATCACTTTTTCAACACTGGCCCCCACGAGCACCGCGGTTGGAGATGCGTCCAGTTCTTTGACAAGTGCTTCTTCGCCGGGTTCTGTGACTTCGGTTATATCTGTGTCATCGTCTAGCGAAGCTCCTATTGGAAGCAGCTCAGCCCATTCTAGCAGTCTTCGGCCTACCGAAGAGACACTTTGGCCAACACCTAGTGCTAGCTCTTCTGCTCCCCTCCAGAGCTCTCCTGCATACACATCTACTTCTGTGTACGAGAGCTCCAGCACCAAGGTTGGACCGTCCAGCCCGGGAGGATCATTTACAACTATTATTGCACCCTCATCAGCTCCCGGGGTGCCAACTAGCGGCGCTGCCACATCCGCACCACAAAGCTCGGCATCTTCTGTGACTAGCCTGACAAGCAGCTCCTCAAGTACCACAAGGAACACTGCTGCTCCTGAGCCATCCTTTGTCACCATCTCTTTCCCCTCCGGAACCGAGAGTGCCATTGGAGGTACTTCCTCCTCAGCTGTACAGACCCCTTCGAGCGCACAGATCGAGAGCTCTGCATCCAGAACCTCAGCTTCCAGATCATCAACCACTACCATTACCCCCTCGTCCGCTCTTACTGGGCCTACCAGTAGAACAAGCTCCAGCCTGGTCCAGCCAACTGACAGGACGCTCTCATCCAGCACGGGCGTGGCAACTTCTGCATCATCTTCGGTAATCGCAACGTCCAGGTCTTCTAAATCGTCGAGTGTGGCACCTACGAGTGCCCCTGCCGTGACGACAAGCCAGGCGTCCCAGAGCTTCATCACTGTGACCCCGACAGGTACCTCGGCGGTCCCCAGCGGCACTTATGGCAAGAACTTGGCCTACGCGAAGCAGAAGAACGAGGAATTCAGCACTCTCACCCCCTCATCAACCTGTTCCACTGCCGGTGAACCCGCATGTATCAATGGAGCTTACGCGCAGTGTTCCTCTGGTGGCACCTACCAACTATCAGAGTGCTCAGCTGGTATGAGCTGCTACGCCGTCCCATGGGAGTATGCAGATGTGATCAAGATTGGGTGTTGGGACGACAAGGACGCAGAGAGAATTCTGGGAGGGGGTATTGGCACTGCGACTGGTACTGCACCAGCCACCTCGATCGTTACGACTGCTACTGCACCAGCTACCTCGATCGCAACCAATAGCGAGGATCCTGTTACCTGGAAGACTACCATCAAGTCAACAGTCGTCATCACCAGGACAGCGGAGCCTACGACAACCTCTGCTGTACCTTCGACCTCATCTGCGATCTCGACCTCGACAGTCCAGCAGCAGCCATCTTCATCGTCCAGGTCAACCATCCACTCGCAGTCACAGCCCTCCTCCGCGCCCACAACTCTCTTACCTTCCGTGACCAATATCATCTCCTCATCCTCCTCCTCGTCCGTCCCTCACGTTACAACCACCGTGAATTCAATCCCGACCGCCCAACCAGGCAATCCCACCACGAGCAAGTCCCCGGGGGGCGACACAACATTCACCCAGACCATCAACCCTCCCCCAACCACCTCGCGACCAGCGGAGCCCTCCTCATCCTCATCTTCATCCTCAACCACGTCAAGATGGACCAACATCATCCCCATAGAGGACACAACCACCGTCCCCTCCAGCTCGCAGGCTCCCCAAACCCTGGTCGCCAGCCAGTCCACCGCACCAGCCGCATCCGCGACGACCCTCGTCCACGAGGCCGACCTCCGCACAACCCAGACAGTCGACGGCATCCCCACCGTGTCCCTCTACTTCACCGTCACCGTCACGGAGAAGGTCCACGAGACGGTGACCGCCACCCTCATCCTCCCTGGTTAGGTGTGCCTCCCTCCACACCACACCCCTCCTTAATTGCAAATATTTGGCGCTCTTTCCACAGGGAAAGCAGCATGGGCATCTCAAGTAGGAAAGGGCAAAAAAAGGAACATATTATATATCACGGTTCATTTGTATTTCAGTTAGTTCCCAACACAGCATTAATAACTTCCCCCCCCCGTTTTGGCTACACCCGCCTCACTCTTGGTCTACTCTGCTCGTCTTAGTTTGTTTCCTTGAATGACTTTTCTTATCTGCTTGATCTACTATTCGCTTGCACTCGGTCTTTTTTCCTTTCATCTATATCATGGGTTCAGGTATCGGGGCGTTCTCAGCATATCCCCTGAGAGGGGAAACGGTGATGATCAACATTGGCAATGTTCGAAACCCTAGAGGGGTATAACAACGAGTTGAAATGCTCTCTTTTGTCATTTTCTTAATTCGTTTGGATCTATCGGTATAGGTAGCGAGAAAAAGAAACCTTCAAATCAAACTGCTTGCTTACGATTGAGAAAACCATGTTTGACACCAGGAGTGGTCTCAACCCACGAGTGAATGGGACCGACGCGTATTCTCCTCAGAAAACAATAAAACGCCCTAGGTTATCACCAGGGTTTACTTAGAGGCACGGCAGTCTAAAGCTTGTATTCTTTTGTTCATTCCTAATGCATTATATCCCTCCCAACAATGATTAACTTGTTGGAGCTTTTATTCTAGTTTGAGCTATGTCATCCCTTGCCATCAAACCCCCTTTTAGTGATACCATAAAAAACCAAACGCTGATTGTAACATCACCATCGTACAGTTGCTGATTCTGCAACGTCTATTCCATTTAGTCTTGCCCCCTCAAAAAGTCAAAAACAAAACACCGCCCAGGCACGTGGCCCATGCCGTTGCCGTAAATGATGAAGTCAAACGCTTTCCCTCCATGCTCCTCTCCCAATGAGTGATATGCAATGCTGAAAGAGACAAATATGCTTGATACAAATAAACTATGTCAACAGGCCTCGACATAGGGCTCAAGAAAGGGGAGGCGAAACATATGTAGAAGCACCCCCATCATGAATCTCGCACCCTCTTGCGCCACCTACGCAGCATATCCGAACGCGTTTGAGCCAAACGTCGCAAACGGCCCGCTCGCCGAAGACTCTAGCTCCTAAAGGTTTTGGCACTCGGTTTGACGACGGCACCGCCACCATCGTCGTTATCGTCATCATCGCCCTCTTCATCGTTTTTATCGGGATCAAAGAAAGGATCTTGAGACCCAGGCGTTTTCGACTTGATCTTAACGCCACCATCAGTCATGTCCTCGTCCTCATCTGCGTCCGGGAAAGCGCCGTATCGATCCTGCCATAATTTGCGCATGACTTCGTAGAGAAAGCGGTACTGAAGTTCGCCCTGAACCATCCCTCGGCGTTGTTGGCGCAAACTGTCAACTGTTTGAAAGATGGGGTCGCCCTTTTGCTGCTGTTGCTGCTGATGTCGCGGACCTGGAGCCTCCTGAAGTTTTGGTGGTGAGGAGCTCACTAGAGCGCCAACATCGAGTTCGCGTATTAGATGTTCTAATGCAATGAATGTACCCGTCCGACCAACACCGGCACTGCAGTGGATGACTCGTGGCCCGTTGGGTGAGCTGTGCTCCCGCGAAAGCTTCATCAGCTCGAAGAAGCTGTCGATATCGCCTATTGCAGGAACTCCAAAGTCAGGCCAGCGTAGGTAGAGAAAATGCCAAACAACGCGTGGGTTCTCTTCGCCCTCAACTTGAAGGAGGAACTTGCGTTTCTCAATGGAGCCCTGGGCAAGCTCCTCGGTCGATTCCAGGGTTAACTTGGCAGCCCAGCCATCGTCCCAAACATTTTCTTCGTTGAGGGCCCATGTAGTGTCCTCGTCATTGGTGTCAGGAAAGTACTGGTTACATTTGAGAATTCCACCCTCAGCCATGGTAGTAAGCTGGACAATGACAATTGGGCTCTCGACTTGCTCCACTATCATGCGCCAAACATAAGGGATTGATGGTTCGGTTGGTCCCTGCATGGCAATATAGCGTAGTGTGGGCCGTGACGAGTCTGACGGGGAAGACAGAGTAATGCTAGAGGCATTCACATAGTCTAGCTGGCCCTCCGGAACCTTGAGCTTGATGCGATTGTGATTCCAAGGTTTGATGTTGATGTAGCGGTCCATAAGACCCTTCTCTTCCACATCAGTTTGCTTGAAAACTCCCCATTTCCATTCTGAGTTATCAGAGCGCTGGCCTGCCATGGCTCTGATCCGCTCATCCCAGTTCAGTTCATTTAGTTTGCTGTCAATGTCTTGATGTGATTGGCGGTCAGCTTAACTCATCATTCATCCTCTGCCTCTGCGTGTGATGGTAGGGGATAACGTGGAAAGGGTTGCAAACCTTGTCTTGACAAATCCAAAAAGGAGGGCCTCTCGGGACCGGGATCGGAACTGCGGGAGTCTTCGCTCATCTTCCCAGCTCGCTCTGTAGGCACATCCAGGGTGGTGAAGGCATTTCGCGGCACCTTGACGCCTTCAAGGGGTATACGGTCCGCGGGCGGAGGTACGCTGGAACTGGCAGATGAGTTGGCTGGGGAGCTTTCACGGGCTCGTTTCCCCGACGTGCGCAGCCTGAAGCTGCGGAAAGGTGATTTAGGAAAAGGCTGTTTTCTCGGCTTCCCTTCCGTAGCAGAGACAGGAGCGGTGCTTGTGCTGTTGAAACTCTCGTTCGTGTCCGTACTAGTTCGATCGACCTGGGTTTCGATTGTCGGCGGTTTGGGCTTGCGGCGGAGCTTGGGAATTTTGTCCATAGCTTCCGTGTCAGGTCAAAGACCTGTATAGAGAGTCGCGCCGCTACGGTAACAATGCGTCGCTATCTTCGTCAAGGCGAATGGGGCTGGAACGGCACCTCAGTGGCGGCTTCGTCGAGGCTGAGAATGAGGCGGTTGTGAGGCGTCAGGGCCAGATTCCAGAAGCGGGGCCAGGCTCGGCGTTGCTGCTTGCTCGTTGGCGGCGTTTGTGACGGTCTGGCCCAGCCTGGTCAACAAGGGAGACGAACGTGAGACAATAGATTCAAAGCCAGCATTCGTGTGGAGAGGAAAACAGAGGGCGGGGGGATGAGAAGACGTTGTACTAATATGCTGGAGAGTTTGTCCCCGACGCATGCGCGCGCACAGAGATAAAGCCTGGCCTGACGGAGGGACACAGAGTTGAGCTTGCCCGGCTAGGTATCGCCGTCAGCACCAAGTGGGTGTTTTGGTATTATTAGTGCGTGCCCCAATGATGGTGTTGGGCATGGCGGAGGCAAATCTGGGCCAAGCAGATCGAGACAGCGGCGATTCGATTCGGTAGCAGGCGCTAGCATGGGTGCCTACTGTTCTGTGCTCGGTAACGGGATACGGAGGCGCGAGTGAGCGGCCAGGTCACACAGGCAGGTCATATAAATACCTACCTATCATTCAAGAGAGCCTGCTTTGTGAACTGGTGGAGAGGGCGCGATTGTGGGAACAGCCGCCTGGACTCGCTTCCTGGCTTCCCCTTCTCTGCCCTCGGTCCGCTGCTCTTCGCCTAGTGCGCTGGGCCGGAAGGCGGGATCCCCCAGGGCCAGCCAACACCAGACGAGACCAGATCAGCGTCGCACCCGAGCCCGTCGATTGGTTCGTGGCTGCTGGCATGGACGCGGTCGGTGGGCAGAGCGCTTTGGAAGCGGCGGCTGCCCGTTTTCAGTGTACCATGTCAATCAATCTTTCCGTCCATCGATTCATGCATCTCTCGTATCAACCAACTGTCAAGCTCCCTGGCTGGCTTCGAGAAACCGTATGCGTGGGAGACCGGGGTAGGAATGTTACCCGACCCAGCCTGGCACCTTGCTGCAATCAATTTTACGGACCCGGACCTCGCTGTCTACTTAATATCTATTAATATCGATATGATTGACCATACGGTTGGGACGTGTGTGCGAGCAATGACCAATTGCCCGATCTCCCATCGGGAATACCTGTCATTAAGTGATGATGCCTTAAGTGTTGCAAATAATAGGGCTGCCTATTTTTGGACTGTGTCGACGCAAAACCACCTAAGAGCTGTCTCCAGTGCTGCGTCTGCCAGGTCCTTCTTGGCTAGGACATTCATTGGATGACACGGAGATTGTGGTCAAATTTTTGCCTGGCCGGAACCTGGAACGTGCACCGATCAATCGTTCCAAATTTCATCAATTTTTTTATTCCACCGTACCTGGGTAATATAGGTAGATCTCGCCTTGCTGGATTAGGCAGAAGGATCCGAGTCTGTCCCGTATTATCTATATTTTTATAGCATTAATTTGGGGGTATGTGCATGCCTATTTATGCCAAGTACTTTCAGATATTTGACTTGCAATTAGGTAGCTATTTCGTCCCTGCAAGAGATATTGTACATGGATTTGTGATGTCTACTATTCTCAATTTTCCCAACAACGCCGCAACATAACTTCCTGCTTCCTTTACCGGCAGCTCATCGTACAAGTTACGACAAGGCCTATTAGCCTGCCGTGATAAGAATACAATATCCTTTTTGGTCGAAATTGGATTAAATAGAAGAGTACACGCCTGTGACATATTGACCGCATTCAACTTTCTGCTCCAGTGTCAGTTTTCTCCCCTGTCCGCCCTCGCCGATGCGAGCCGTCTGCTTAGGCGCCAAGCAGAGCCTGTGGTGCTCTCCCTGTCTCCCCTTCTGCGCATCACCCTCACCTCGGTCGAGGGGTCCAATATAGGCGGGCGAATTCAGGTTGGACCTCTTTCCTGTGCCTAGCTGGTAGTGCTCATTGCCTCCCCAAAATAAGACGTCAGCGCCGGTATACGTTTGATTCTCTGAAGCTCCTGAAGAGATGTATGTTTCTGTGGTGTTGTCCATAACAGCAGCGCAATGTGTAGTTCCAACAGTCATGGACTTAATCTTAATTGGTGCCATCTTGTTTGTCTTCTCGTCAAACTCGTAAAGAGAGGAAAGAGACTTGATCTTGTTTGGGCCCAGTGTGATATGCGTCCATTTTCCAGTGCCCAGAGCTCCATACACACCTTGCCCAGCTGCCCACATGTCAAAGACTCCACTGGGGTATTTCCGAGACGGCGCTACATTTTGGCCACTCTGTTCATTCGAGGTTGCCTCAGCTTCCACGGCGAAAAAGGTTGTATTGCCTCCAGCGGCGATAGATGTAGCCTTGGGAATCAATCCAGTACGCTTATATAGTGCGACCGTAGGAATTTCGGACGGATATTCAACGGAAGGCTCCGACACCAGCGGCTCAGACCCAAGCTGCCCATAGAGGTTGTCGCCAAATGCAAATACCCGGCCGGCTTTGTCAAGGACCACCGAATGGTAGTCCCCGGTCGCGATCTGCTTTATATCAAGGCCGCGAAGAGGCTCGACCTCCAGGGGTTGATCATATGGACCACTGGGCCTTGTATTCCATGAAAGTCCGGGGATCCCCATCTGCCCCTTTGAAGGGTAGTCCAAACCGCTGGAAGCGACCGCAAACACTCTGCCTCTCGAGGTGAGCAGTAAGCAGTGCTCGAGGCCACTGCTGATGTCCACAATCTTCTCTCCGTAACCTAGCCCCGAAGGCGTCAGCTTCCGGGAGCTGATGCCCCCCTTTCCTGACGAGGCCCATATTGACCACGACCCGTTTTGCTGCTCCTGCTTTAACCCCCCTTCCAAATCATCTTTTGACGACGGAACAGAATAAACGGTTCCGTTTCGACTCAATGCGATAATGTGGTCGGAAGAGATTTCGATCTTGGCGAGATCTTTGCCTTGGAGGGTGGTGACGGGCTTGGGGTCGGCCTTGGAGAAGCCCAATCCCCATTGGACCAGATCACCCTTCTCAGTCAATGCAGCCCCGAAGCTCTGGGAAAGCTTCAGGTCGCGCAAAACCTGATCGTTGAAAAATTCTAGGCGCTGGGGAAGCTTGATGTACTTCTGATTTGAATTGGGATCAACAACCTGGCCAACGTTGGAGCCCCAAACGTAGACACCTGGATGCTCCCAGCTTCTTTGGATCTGAAGGTGCTGCGAGCTGAGAAGCTCCCGGTACTCCTCCTTAGTCAGAGCCTCCTTCCTGGGCTGTTCGAATTCAAGGTTGGCCTTGAGCGGTCCTGACTGTGGGGATTCAGAGCCAGAGGCCAGCAGCTCTTTGAGGGTTGGGTAGTAGTAAGCTCCTGCAGCAGCGACTCCAAAAACGGCACCGAAGCCAATAAACTTGCCGGCTGAGCGACGAGGTCTCCCTGTAGCTGATGGAGAGGAATTACTGGAGTTGCGCAGCCATTGCCGAGTTGGCGCAGGCAGAGACCGTGTTGCTCTTGGTCTGAGGGTGGCCGTACGCCGAAGGACGGCCGCTGGGACGTTCATAATGCAATGTCAAGCAGTTGCAGTTGCAGCTGCAATGATGGATGAGATTTGGAGGGCACTCTCAACTATTCGGCTATCTAGGTCAAGATATTGCAAATCGTGAGGTCATCAGGATTGAGAAGATTCGGATTCGTGGGGAGCTAAAGCTATTTCAGCCAATCATGCGATATTGGCCCAATCAGGGAATCTAGGGTGAGGCAAGGTGAGGTCCAGCATTTGATGATGGTTTCGCTGACTCATCCGTCTCAAGCTAAAACCCCAGGAGACGTGATTGAGAACAGAGATGACATATTCCCGAGGAAAAGATGCCAGCTTCTGTAAATCCTGATATAGAGAGAGCAGCCTTCTCACCGAGAGTCTGTTGAAGTTCCCTATTACTTGGATATCGAGGGAATCGAATTCGGGTGTAGGCCGATGAATCGTTAGTAGGTAGTCTGCACATCTGCTGTAGTGAATTGCACGCCTTGGCTCTATCGATACCATATTTTCTAATATGAAACAACCAGTAAGTTAATGTTTTTCATTTCCCACGTTTATGGATTTCTCAGTTGGTTAACAGCAACTCTGTCAGTTGGTACTCCGTACAGAGAGAGGATCCGCAACAAATTAGGTAGCGCTGGATCCAGTGCACGGACCGCCGGGGGGCATCAAAGCTACCCCCTGCTTCAGCAGTGCTCAGGGCCTGTTTAGGGGCATCCTCAGCCAGCCCATCAGGTACAGCGGTACATGCACCTGTTCCAGAACGCCGCGACCCACGAGCGATCTAGCATCGGTGTCCGGAGTGCCAACGTCCCGACCAGATTCGAGGTCGAGCGGCCGCACGTTGTAACCATCTGCCATCGGGTCTGGGGCAGTTCACAACTTCCCGCCTTGCAGTTTATACCACAATGTACGAAGATTCATGGTATAGCTACGTCCCCGAGGTGTCCCCCGCAACAACTCGCACCAACCAAGCCCGACGGAGGGGAAACACCTTGCTCCAGCAACCACATGTACGTGCAGTGTAGCTGGACCACAGTCTCTGCTTGCTCTTCCTCATATTGGTAATTCCCCTAACTAAGGACTTCCGCAGGAGACAGCCAATTCAGTAGCTGAGACAACAGTGCCTGTTGACAATGTCTATGAAGAGATCGAAAACACCAACACCCCGCCAGAGGCCACAGTGAGACGGCGAGCGGCGTCCACCTCCGATTTCTACCGAAAACGTACGAGAGAAATTACGAAGGAGAAAGGGTCTTCGGGGAGGAAAAATAAACAATGGGAAGCTCTGATGCTTTCCGTGGGAGCTCTCGAATTGGAGAACAAAGTCAATTGCGACCGACCGACCTATGCTGGACAGAGCGCCGAGCTACTTGAAGCAAGCCAGGAGAAATATCTGTATGTGTTCATCCCTGGATTCTTAGGCCTAGGATCTCCTAACATG